CTCCCAGGTTCTGGTATTGCTTATGTGTTTTGTGACACATTAAACATGGCAAAGATCAGGGGTCATTTCCTGCAGGAGCGCACGGGAGCAGAGCTCTGGCAGTAAAGAGCCCAGGGGGTGGGCACATGCAACAAGCCCCACCCCCCTGCTCCCAGCAGCCCTCAGTCAGAGCAAGAAGCAGCCAGGTAAGCTGCAGAGCCCCTCCCGCCCGGTCCAAAGCAGTCCAGTGGCACCTTTAAGACCAAATTTTATTCAGGTACAAGCTCTCCCTCCTCTCCGAATAGCTAGCAATCCAAAACAGTCCAGTGGAGCCTGAGCGGTGGGTGTTGCCTTCTGACACACTTCCGGTGAGGTCAGGGGGTGTGGCATATGCAAATGAGTTATGCTAATGCGTTATGCTAATGAGCTCCTGCAGCTCTTTTTCTATGAAATGACCCCTGGCAAAAATTACGTGGTGGGATCCTTCTTACAGTACGTTGTAGACAGTAGTGTTTAAAACCCCACTCACTTATATACCAAATTCCCTTCTCATTTATCCAAGTAAGTTTGTGAAACCATTTTGTGCAGGGCAACCCAGTTGCCTGGGCGGGAAAGACCTCTTGAACTATTCACTTTTGCATAGTTTGCGGAAAGCCAGGAGAGGGGGAGCCTTCCTGACCGTCCTGGGCAGGCCATTCTATAAGACAGGAGCTACGACAGAGTGGTCGATATGTCCATCTGCAGCTCGGCACCCGCAGAAGATTTCTTTTCGTGATTAATAAACCTATAGCCATTTTGTGGCCGCACCCACCATGCCATGTCAGAATTCCAGGTGTGCCCACAGGCTCAAAAAGGTTGGTGACCCCTGCAGTGTATCAGCGAAACATTCAAGTAGAGCCCTGTCTGTCACAAGAAACAGTTATTTTATTGTAGTCCCCTATACTCCCTTCCTGCGGTAGTTTTTGCCTTATTGGAAAAGACCCCGCCTAAGTTGATTATCTTGCTCCTGATCTCCCTGTACAGGTTCCTGCCAAAGACATGAAGGAGGATTCCAAGCGAAGCCAGTACGTGGTTGTCCAAGCCAGTTGTACCCAGTTCCAGCTGGAGAAGGTGGTTCTGGTCTCCTTCCAAAGCGGCTACATCTTCATCCAAACAGATAAGACCATCTACACCCCTGGAAGTGCAGGTACGCACATCGGCTCCGCCGGATTTCCCTCCTGGAACGCCAGTAGATCCCCTCCTTGGCCAGACCTTTGTTTAGATGTCTCTCTTGACAGCGGGGTTGAAGAGAGGAGGTCTTTTTGGGGGGGGCAGAGTGTCAGTTGAAAGATGCTTGAAAGAGGGGGTTCTACTCACTTTTCTTGACCAAAGGCGCTCTATGCTGCAGATCTTAACCCGTTTCAAGCAGGGGCAGCTTTGGAAAATGGCTGCTTGGGTGATAACCATATTGCTAGCAGATGAGGACCCTGAAACGACTCGCTTGGTGGCAAAATACTAGCTATCGATAGTGCTGTCGTTAAAGCATCTTTGAAATGCTGGAGGTAGTTTTATGTATATAAATTTTAGAATTTTAAAACCAATTTCCATAATATCATGGGGTTTTATAGAATTTATAGACGTTTATGAAATGTTGTCTATTAATATTGTTTATGAGTATGCTTATTAGTTTTTAGTGTAAAAATGTTTGGTCTAAATCATCCTGTAAATATATATAGGCCCCGGTCACATGGGCCAGATAACGCAGGGGGGAGGCGTGGCTCTTTGCGCTGGAGCAATTAGACCCGGCAGAACGCGATCAGACACGATGGTGGCACACCGCGGTTTCGTCCATCAGCGCGTGCGTGTCAAGGACAGCCGGGGGAAAGCTGCACGCCGGCACAATCACACAGAACGATTCTGTCGGCAGCCTGTGGCAAACCATTTGCTAATACATTTGTTGAGATACTTTTTAACTGTGCAGCTTTGGCGGCATGCCACAGGTTGGCCACAGGTGCCAGTCCTACACTTAGGTATAAAAAAATCAAAGGCACAGATATAGAATGGGTGGGACTTGAATTGACCGCAGCTCACGCGAAAGGAATCTAGGTGTTCTGGTTGATCACAAGCTAAACAGGAGCCTGCAGTGCGATGTGACTGCGGAGAAAGCGAATGCAGTCTTTGGATGCATTCACAGAAGCCTTGTGTCCAGATCACGGGAGGTGGTAGTTCCACTCTATTCTGCTATGGTCAGGCCCCACCTGGATTCCTGTGTCCAGTTTTGGGCACCACATTTGAGGAAGGATGCGGACAAGCTCGAGCATGTCCAGAAGAGGGCAACCAGGATGGTGAGAGTGTTGGAGTCCGAGTCTTATGAGGAAAGGCCGAAAGAGTTGGGTCTGTTTAGCCTGGGAAAGAGAAGGCAGAGAGGGGACACGATTGCAGTCTTCAAGTATCTGAAGGGCTGTCATGTAGAAGACGGAGTGGATCTATTCTCTCTTGCTCCGGATGGCAAGACTAGATCTAATGGGTGGAAATTACAAGAGAGTCGATACCAGCTAAATATCAGGAGAAACGTCCTAACTGTAAGAGTGGTTGAGCAGTGGAACAGACTGCCTCGGGAGGTGGTGGATGCTCCTTCCCTGGATATTTTCAAGGGGAGGCTGGATGACCCTCTTTCGGGTATGTTGTAGGGCCATCTTTCAGCCGTGCTCCTGCAGAGTGCAGGGGGTTGGACTAGATGACCTGCAAGGTCCTTTCCAACTCTAACATTCTATGATTCTATGAGATCAGTTCCCCTGGAGGAAATGGCTGCTTTAAAGGGTGGTATTTATACCCAGCTGAGGTCCCTCCCCTCCCCAAACCCCAACCTCCCCAGGCCCCACCCCACAAATCTCCAGGAAATTCCCAACCCAGAGCTGGCGACCCTAAACCAGGGCCTTCATCCAGTTGGCCCCCTCTTTGCTGCCTTTTGAGCAGGAGAGAAAACGTCTGGTAATTTGAGTATGGCTTCATGTCGTTTTCTACCCTTAGGGCTCCAGGGTACCGCCGGCCTCTTAACTTTATCGTCATAAACCAATGATCTTTTCTTTCTCAGTGCGCTATCGGATCTTTCCTGTGGGTTACCGCATGGAGCCTCTGGAGAAAAACGTGATTGTCGAGTTTCAGGTGAGAGCCGCGAGGGAAGCGTCCGCCCCTGCAAGGGTGGGAAGCGGGCTGTGAGGTGAGGCAGGCCCTGGGGGCAGTGTTCCCTCTAAGCTGAGTTAGTGTGAGCTAGCTCACAGTTTTTGAGCCTCTGGCTCACACATTTTTGTCTCAGCTCAGGAAGGAGGGCTCCAGAGCCAACTAATTCATGCAGCAGCCAAATCGCTCGCTCGCAACTTTAATGCCAGGAGCTTGCAAAGTAGATTTTTTGCTCACAAGACTCTACAGTTTAGAGGCAGCATTGCCTGTGGGTGTGCCATGGAACTTTCTTGAAGGATCACTTGTGGCGGCTGAGGGAGGGGGAGGCCACTGCAACTTTTCTTAGAAACACTGTTGTTGTTGTTCAGTTGCACAGTTGAGTCCGACTCTTCGCGACCCCGTGGACCAGATCACGCCAGGCCCTCCTGTCTTCCGCCGTCCTCTGAAGTTGGCTCAATTTCATGTTCGTTGCATCTATGACACTGTCTAACCATCTCATCCTTTGCCGTCCCCATCTTCTTTGACCTTCTTTGGGCATATTGTATTTTCCATCAATAATGAGATAAATGTCAGGCCTTGTGAGAGAGTTCAGGGGGAAAAAGATGAACGAAACATCCTCTTCTATGTGTTCCCAAACCCATGCCTCTGGCAGCACACGGGAAGGATGTATTATAGAGGCAGCTGCCCTCTTCTGCAACCCATGGTGCAATTGTCCTAACTTTGGAGGGCCCATTCTGCCTTAGGTGTCTAATTTCAAACTACTGACTATTAGTTTGGTGCCAGTTTGGTTAGTGGTTAGGAGCGGTGTTCCCTCTAAACTGAGCGAGTGTGAGCTAGCTCACAGGTTTTGAGTCTCCGGCTCACATATTTTATCTTCGCTCAGGAATGATGCCTCGAGAAAACTAATTTATGCAGCAGCCAAATCGCTCGCTCACAACTATAATGCCAGTAGCTCACAAAGTAGAATTTTTGCTCACAAGACTCCACAGCTTGGAGGGAGCATTGGCTAGGAGTGCGGACTCTGGGAGAACCAGGTGTGATTCCCCACTCCTCCACATGTAGCTGCTGGTGTGACCTTGGGTCTGTCACAAGTTCTCTCAGAGCTGTTCTCTCAAGAGCAGTCCTCAAAAGAGCTCTCTCAGCCCTTCCTATCTCACAGGGTATCTGTTGTGGGCAGGGGAAGGGAAAGGAGATTGTAAGCCTCTTTAAGTGAAGGGCCGGTTATATATCCAATCTCCTCCTCCTTCCCATACCATAATAATAATAAATAATCTTTTAATTTATTAATCGCTCGATCCTGCGGGACTAACAATGATTTATGGGGGTAAGGGAGGACAACATATATATCTTTTTAAATCACACACATTCACAGTCGGCGAGGGTTTGTCCAGCTGCAGGGTCAGACGTGTTCCGTCGGCATATTCACTTCAGCTGGGCTAGATGACATCAGCTTCTCTAGGTCTTGCAGCGCCGCACTGCCACCACCTGGCTGGAATGGCCCATTGCAGGCTTCTCGGTCGAAGAGATTTTTCTTAGGCTTTCTTTTTTTAAAAAACAATTTTTATTAACGGGATAACATAATTCTTCACAAATCATTTTGTCATTAAAATACTTTACAGATACCCCTGGTTTTTTCGTTGCCCCTCCCTGTCCACCCCCTTACTTGGCTTCCCGCAATGCTTTTCCAGTCATTTTTATTATCTTAACATTTTCTCTCTTAACATTTTCACTTTATTCTAGTTTTTATTGGTTATTCTGTAACTTATATCATACCAATAGGTAACCTCCTTCCTTATAGCTATAGATCTTCATTTCTAAAATTCTTCAAAACATAGTAAATTATTTCTTACATCCCAGTTAGACTCTAAATATAGTTTAAAGTCTCTCCAGTCCTCGTAAAAACTTTCGTCTTCTTCATCTTTTAGCTTTCTTGTGATCTTGTCCATTTCAGCCATAAATACGACTTTTTTAAATCCAGTCCCATTTTTCTGGTATTTTGTCCTGTTTCCAAAATTGTGCATATGTCATTCTTGCCGTGGTAATCAAATACCAAAATAAAGTTCTTTTAGTAGCATTCAATTCTTCCATTTTCAAACCCAGCAACATTATTTCAGGTTCTTTTTTAAAATTACACTTTAGAATACATTGCTTTCGAACCGCTGGGTGGACGGCGAGCTGGGGACAAGGCTGGTAGCTCACACCAACACGGGGCTAGAACTGACAGCCGTACTGTTCAGCTCAGATGTTACTATCTGATGTTGGGCGGCCGGTCGGATTCCACTCCCGATGACCTTAGTCGGGCGTTACAGGCCGTGGCTGGGTGGCTCAGACTGAGTCGGCTGAAATTAAACCCGGCAAAGACGGAGGTCCTGGGGCTGGGTCGGACCCGTCCGGGGTTAGGGCTCTCTCTCCCGACCTTCGACGGGGCGCCATTGGTGCCGGTGGCGGAGGTTAGGGGTGTGGGGGTGCTCCTGGACTCCACGTTAACTATGGAAGCCCAGGTAGCAGCCACTGACAAGTCGGCATTCTACCATCTTCGGCTGGTGCAGCAGTTGGTCCCCTTCCTCGACCGGGATGACCTAGCCACAGTGATCCATGCGATGGTTACCTCGAGGCTAGACTACTGTAACGCTCTCTACATGGGGCTGCCTTTGTCGCAAATTCGGAAGCTGCAACTAGTGCAGAATGCTGCAGCCAGGCTGTTGATAGATCTTCGTAGACGGGATCACATCCAGCCTGTGCTGAAAGCGCTGCACTGGTTGCCAATAGCTTACCGGGTTCACTTCAAAGTGCTGGTCGTTACCTTTAAAGCCCTATATGTCCAGGGACCAGC